GGGTGACTGAGATCAATATGTGTAACTAATGAACAAAGTCTAAGTTTGTCACTGAACTGTCGGCTACATGAACAAAGAGAAGGATAAAATTCTGATTTTTCTCTTCTGATGAGTCTTATGACTAATGGAACACTTATTTAGCAGGACTGAAATATCAAAAATGTACAATATACCCAAGAAATTTAAAAACATGAAGTGTACTTTCATTTTAGCATGTGACCAAAGTTTCTGAATATGATTGCTGTCATAACATAATCAAAACATTCTAAAATTTACTCCTTGACTCCTTTGTTGAGTCTAGTGCCTCTGTCTTTCACACTCTCCGCAGCTGAAATTTTATAACATTTCCATTAAGAATATGACACACAGTCATTATACATGAGATACACCCAACTGTTACCTCAGACTCCTGGAGTCAGAAAGATCCATTTGTACATCTGCTTATACTAGAAAAATAACAATAAAATATTTCTCTGTAGATCTGTGAGGAAATTTGTATTTTTAAAAGCGGGGAACCTTAAATAGCAATATTTTACCCTTCTGTACAGTTTTACTTGCATTTATAGAAAAAGTATTATAAATACAATATCCATGAAAGAAATACTAGGTATTGTAGCATCTTTTATACTCAAAATAAAAATTAAAACCATCTATTCATTCATTGCCATGTGAAATTAGCGTTGGAAGGATAATGTTTGTGGCCACCATGAATTCTGAGATGCTTGTGAGAAAATGTCATAAATATATAAGACTGCCTGCTAACCTGTGGAAAGGAGATTGAGTGACACCACACAATGCTGTTCCAGAAGTGACAAAAAAAACTTGCTAATTTTGCGGGTGCTTTAGAATGATTCTATAGATTTCATTTACAAATGTACAGAGGAACAGATATATTTGTGTGTGGTTTTATACCTTTGCTTGTATTTATCAGCAGGTAACAATAACCAGGTATAGTTTTAGCAGAAAATACTGTGCTTATTAGATGATGATGCAAAGTTTGGCTTGTGAACTGAAAAATACTCCACCTGTCCAAAGAAGGGGATCCCTTGTCTGAAGTGTGGGTCCACTTTCACAAATGAGAGTTGGGTGATAGTTCTTGTTATTTCACTGAGCCCTCTTCCAGTTAACTCCACCTCTGAAAGAAGAAGAAAAAAGAAAGTCATTTTTTGGAAGGACGATCGGCCTGAACTTCTTATCCTACCTCCCCCTTTCAAATCGTACTTTGGCAAAGGATATAAATCATGACCATTTCCTTTTCTCCCGTCCCCCCATGGTACACAAACCTGTTCCTTCTTCTTTGATCTTGGCTTCCACTTCAAGTTCCATTTTCAAACCTTCTCTCTTCATCTGGAAGACCTTGGTTTTTACTTGCTGAGAGACGCAACCCTGGCTGTTTAGCTAGGAGGGGATAGAATAAAATACAAAAACATAATACGAGACAGACCAGGGGTCAGTTAATCTGGTGGGATATTTGTGGGGGGGCAGGGAACATAATTTAGGTATTTCCTATAAGAATACAATACCTTTAGGGATTGGTTATTATTATATTTTACAACAGTATCTGGTTTATAATTGACAGGTGTGTTCCTCAGTATTTGAGATTTCTTAGTGTGAATGAGATAGAAATGCCCTAAAATTTTGGTGAAAATCTTACTGTAATAGGCAGCTTACCCTTCACTAAAATCTGGCTCCCCTTCCATAGTGTACCGCTATGGCTAGAAAGTCGCTGCCTATCTGGGAATTGTGTTTCCTACCTCACTGGTATCTAGGTGGGGCCATGTGACAAGTTCTTGTTCATAGAAAGAATGAAACTGACATTCTTCACA